ATCCTGTGTTGTAAGGACGTTTTACAAACATAAACTTCGCGTGGACAAACACCCAGATGCGAAACAACTATCCGTGGGTCGCACAAATTGTTGCCCCGTGGTAATCGAACTCACGACCCCCACGCCGAAGTCAATACCTTGGCAACTGTACCACTGAGTATAATATATTGTTGAAATTTACTTTTTACGAAGTCAAGTGAATTTGAGCTCCGCTAACGACTAACATGAGCTGCCGGCGTAAAAAAGGCGCAATAAAAAGCTAAACTGGTGCAGTCACGACACACAATTTCATGCTTGTACGTCTAAATAATACTTTCAGTACGACAAGCACTTTTGATTTATAACTTCCTCTTTTAGCTTAACTACACATACTGTTTATTTACGGCCGGTTTCAATGTATATACAGATAGATTTGGTTACTAGCGATAGGTATTTACGTCAAAATTCTATCTCCGGTATCCAAATCTATCTTCAGATCGATTATTGAAACCGGCCGTTGATAGGTTATAGTATTCTTTTGACAAAGAAACAGACTAACGAATATTCATAGAAAGACTACTTCACTTCTATTAGTTAGCATTAACCGTCCATGTCAGTGGTAGGCCACGTAACACCTTCACTGTTGCACGAATGTGCAAGTTCATCCGGAGAAGTACCACGACCTCGCTGATGACTGGTGTTTGAGGTAGCCGGAGCCATCTTATCATAAGGGTGGCAACGCGTATGCAACCCTACGGGTGTTTCGGATTTCCATGGGCGGCGGTCACTTAACATCAGCTCCTTTCTTCCTCTCTTATGTCGTTCTCACATAAAATATCACAATTTAAGTAATGCATATTTAAAGGACCTGCATTTCGCAATAGTCTTATTTTTTCACTTGGCACCATGGGTCTTTTGACAAACCGGTCATTATTAAATACAAGTTTTTATTTGTATAAAAACTATTTACATGGGCGAAATTAGTTTTAGCAACTCGTGTGGATATTTTGTTGCCGATATCATGCTTTTATATTGTTGCAGTATTGTTAATTGAATGCAATAATTTTTTCTCTGCTTTTAACTGTTCTGTTAAGTTTAATGCGGACTTTTGATAAATCGTTCGTTGAATTTCCACGTCGAGTTTAATTTCATGGTTCGGCTGTGATATGCGCTATACGATGAACTACGCTACGCCAATTTTTAAAAGCATTTTTGCTAGAGCTGTATTAATCGTAATAACTAACATGTTTTTATGTTTTCGTAGATAATTAAATAAGGATTAGACCATAATTTTTCATTGATCTATTGTAGTTATTTGTAACATTATTATGTATTTGCTCTAAGTCTAAAATTGTATAACTAAAAAGAAATAAACTTTATCATTATTATTATAACTAATAACATTAGCAAATTGTTTTTTGAACTCATTTAGTCAATGTGCCATTTTAAAAGTCTTTGAGGACAATCCGTAATCATACGATTTTAACGCAATATCTCTTCTGAATTCAGCTGAAACTGTTTACTAAATTCTAAGTACGGTGGCCTAGATCGTTAAATCAGGTGGGGCACTCGTCACAAACCCTCGCATTCCCGCTTGCGGTACCCATAACCTAATACAAGATGTAATTATTCAAAAATAATTCCTTGTTACCATAAGTCTGACGATATAGATGAAAGCAAGCAAACAGAGATAAGTAACTTTTAAAGTTACTCGAAATTTCTTAGAATAATTATGATTTTAACAAAAAAAGCTCAAAATTATCACATAATCAAAATCTGCAATAACAAATCTAAAGCCACATGGCAGGTTATTTATAAAAATAAATTGAATGTCTCGTAAAATACATTTCTTGATCAAACAGAATATAATAAATAATATTAGATACCCAAAGGAACTACTTGTTTAATAATTACATAGATAAAGTACCGTAGAGTGCGTCTAATACAAGTCTGTAGCAGATAAACAAGCAGTGTGGGAGAAGCAATATTCTCTCTCTGATCAAATCGTATCTTTGTAGCCGTAAAAACATTACAAAATTACAACAATTGATGAGAGTAAACAAAAGTAATTTTCAGATCAGAGGAACGTTAATTTGTTGGAGTACCTTAAGGTAGTGTGTTAGAGCCTGTACTCTTCAATTTGTGTATTTGCCTAAAACAACAGAACAACCGATGACATTTCACGTGGTCGATGGTATCTAATAGACATTGGTAAGCTAAAAATAATTTCATCATTTATTTAAAAAAGGCATAAGTACATAATACACTTTGGTGACACATACAATTGTATGTAATCGATTATAATGATATTAATGAATATCGATTATAATAATATTCGCAAACACAGCAAAATTTCTAGGACTAGTGATAGATAAGACATTAAATTGGAAGACTCAAATAGAGGGAGTTTTAAAAACTCTAAGTAGTGTAGAGTACGCGCTGAAAAATAGATTTTATTATTAAAATATCGATATCGCTCGCATTATACATCTTAGAAACAGTTACGTTTATTAGGTCCAATTCTTTTTTCTAGTTTATCTGATTTAGCACCTAGGCAAAGACATGATCAGTCTGCCTAGACGCTTAAACTTGCTTTTATGCGTTTGAGCTTATCTTTATCTAGCTTGCTTTGTATTAAAGAATATCGCGCTCCCTCATTTCTAGGCCGCGACGTGTTCTGGACATGAGAGGACACTCACTATATTCTATATCTTGCAGCAATGTACGTAAACCATGTTTTTACAAATAAATGCGCATATATCTATATGGGAATGCAATTTTGCATAATGGAAGAGAGATGCTTCGTGGGTCGGGAAAATGTTGTTTAAAAATACTCAAAATACGCCATAATTAAAAAGTGTCTAAAGCTTTTTGATTGTTTAATGATGTTTCTGTTTCTGTATATGCATCTTACTCAGTTGTTCTAGTTAGATTTTGTTTGTAATATTTATGAGAAAGACCACATTAAAAAAACTAGATTTCGCATAACTGTGGTAGGGCCACGCAACAGTTTCTGCCGTGGCACGAATGGGCAGGCGCGTCCGGAGAATTACCACAGCCCCACAGAAGACCACCAGTAGAAGTTTAATCTTCGGTGTTTAGTCTGTGTGAGTTAAACTGAGCCCACTTTTAAAGGTTGTCTTCGCAACTGCTAGCAGTGGCGGATTTGTAGTCTTGGCCGCCCTAGGCCCCAGCCCGAGGTTCTAGTCGCCCCTTTCTCAGCCGCCCCTAATGTGTGGCCGCCCTCGGCCCGGGGCTATGGGACTTAGGGTAAATCCGCCGCTGTCTGCTAGTCCTCCGGTGTTGGAGATGTCCATAGGTGGGGTGTTCACTTAACATCAGGTGAAACTCCTGCTCCCTTGACAACTTGTCACATGGAAAAAGTAAATACTTCTAAAAAGTTACGGTGAAATTTTGGCAAAAGGGGTGTTTTAGGCCGAAACCGAAACATCGCGTATGTCGATAATATTTGCCGTGCTACATAATCTCTCACGTTTTCACGGAATCGCTGTCGTCTATTCATCCATACGGTGGCACAGTTGCAGCATGTAAATCACTTTATAGCAAACAATCACTTTTTCATATGACTTTTTTAACATTAAATATTTGAAAACCAGATACATCACCTTTGCTTTTAGATAAATAAGTTGAGATTTTCGTATGTACGTGTACTGCGCGACAAGATGCGTTTATAACAGCACCATAATTTTTTCTCCAATTTTGTTACAACTGATGACGCCGGATGATCTAGTCTACTATATTTGACTTCGGTCTTGAATATCATTGAAGTAAGCATATTTCTTTTTATCACCGAGAGTTAGCTAAAAGTGGATAGCATTGGCTAATTCTGGCTCTCTTGTAGTAAAATCATCGTCATCGTCAGCCAGAGACCGTCCACCGTTGAAGAAAGGGACCCCTCAAAAAGCACGAACAAAAAATTTCTGTCCATCCATCATTTTTAGAAATCATAAATTATTTAAGTTATAACATAATAAAAAATCTTTCCGTGTTTAGCAAGCCACGCGTTATTTATGCTAACAGTTTTCTTTTTACCAATTTCATCGCGTTTAATCTGAATCTGACATTTTGATAAACTCAAAAGCGAGAAAATGAAATGCGTGACAAATTATTCGATACGCAATCGTGGTGGAATTGTTATGTAAACGAACTTTCAACTCGCTAATTAAGCAAATTGTTAACTCGTAATCGAGTTTGTTTAGGAAAATTTATGTAGATGTTGGGGTCAGAAACTGTAATGTTACTATTGGGCCCACATACATTTGTAGGTTTCTTTACTTACGTATATACTTTTTTTATGTGACAAAGCGGCAAACTAGCGGGCTATTCACCTGATGTCAAGTGATAACCGCCGCCCATGGACATTTGCAACACCCGTAGTGTTGCAGAAGCGTTGCCACCTTTAAATAAAGTGGGCCCCGACTACCTCATTATATCATAGACATTTTGTGCATAGTTTCGTGAGAACGGTGTACCTCTGTATAGGTAAGTAGTGACGCCGCGATGTCGCGGTTAGTAGACTTACGCCTTAAGGTTTTGTCACGGTCTGACATAAATACGACGCAGTCAGCATTGGTGTGAACATTTAACGAGATTTGGAAAGCAAATTAGTGATGAAGAATTCGTTGTATCTGAAATTGCTTATTCTGCTCATACATACAAAAGGGAGAATGTACTCACGACCTATGTTTCGTGTTACGCAAGACTCCTTCCACTCATAGCAGCGCCATACAGCCGCCGTCAATGTTCACAGGTTACGTTGACAGAGAAACTGTTAACTCGTTTGGGGAGCATTAGGCCTTTTTCATTCAGAAATCACTATTCGTTACATCACAGCACTGGAGACGTTAACTGTTCCCGTAGCGAGGCGTGCTTGGATTAACCGTTTTTATATTTATACTTTATAACTGGCCAGTCGCGGCTGCTTGTCACGGGACTATTGGCTTTTTATATTTTTGTTTTTGAAAATCGAATAGTGTTTTTTTTTTCGATCGGTGCTCGCGATGGCGCGTGTTAGTCCGCTCTGGCTGGGCGGTACGCGAGGGCGGCGCGCAAGCGCGACTGTCGCTCCGATGAAGGCAGGGATGGATTCGGTGCTATATGATTTTCAACCCCTTGTATACTACACTCAGTCCGATTCCATACAGGTATGCTTGAAGTTAAAACATGTAGAAAAAGTACGAAAAGATTGTCGCCGCTGTGGGAATCGAACCGACTTCTTCGGCATTCGCGGCCTGACGCATTACCCACTAAGCTAAACAAACGGCTGATTGCCACACCGACAGAAATCTTAAAGTCTCTTATATACATTGTTATTTAGCATTTGAAGCAATGCTTGGCGCATCTATTGTTATATCCTTTCAAGCATACAAACAATTTCGAATAGCGTCAAGCCGCGAATACCGGGTTCGATTCCCACAGCGGCGACAATCTTTTCGTACTTTTTCTACAAGTTTTAATCTTTAATCTTAAGTGCAGAGATTAGCACTATAAAATCTTTAAATTTCTATGCTTGAAGTTGTTTACATCTCAAATAGTTGGTCGTTAAAGTGGCTACGACGCTGCTGGTTTAATTGAAAAATTGATGGTTTATAAAAAGTTCCTAACTTAATTAGCTTTTGTGTGTTCTTCTAATTTAGATAATAATACCAGCGTAAAACTTGTGAGGGAGGCCTATGTTCAGCAGTGGACTCAAACAGGCTTAAATGATGATGACGATGACTAGCGTAAAATATCAATGCAGTAGAGGTACAATGAGAGTCGAAACCCGCACTAAAACCTTCTAAACTTTAAGTCGCACGTGCAAATACATCGTAAAAGGATTATTGCTCTCCAAGTGCGGCCCTGTCTCTGAAACTACGAAGGCTCTCCATGCAACGGGTATACCCGAATGCAGACGACGTCTCCCGAAGCAACCTGTCTGAAGTTCGTGGATCAGAACATCCTGACCCACGCCCTCTCCCTTAACCGGTTAAAACTGGACCTTTCAGGGTCGGCTGGCTGGAGGGAAGGATGTCTTCGTGCGTTGGTCAAATCTAACTGAGCATGCGCTGACAACACGTCGATGTGTACGGCGAAAATTGAGATGTATTATAACCAGTTTACAGAAGGTCTGAGTGGTACGAATGTCTCTTTCACTTAGTTTTTATTAACTCGCTCTCTTGTCTGTCCGTTGGTTTGTCGGTATAATTTTTTGCAGTCTATTTTAAACTCTATGTATTTAGTTTTACGCGATTTTCAAATAAATTTTCTAAGTAAGTATCGATGGCAAAAATCTTGCAAATTTAAACAAACTATATTAGCTAGATTCAATTTAGGTAACTCGTTCTTTTATCCGTCTGTTTGTGTGTTTGCCAGTTTGTTAACGAAATTGATGATACGTTGCAAATTTTCAAGACGTAATAAATATGTTTGAGTAGATTTTATTGTATGTTGAAAAAAAAAAGTACGGTTTGACAGGTTGCTTTTATCGTGTACACCTTACTTAGCTGATATATATGTGTGCGCAGGAGTGACCTGGCCACACTTACAGCCTAAAGGCCTCACTGATATGCTGTAACACGAGAACGTTTGATATTACCTTATCAGTAAGGTAACATGACACGGTTTCGTGTATCCAGATACACAAAAGTAGCTTACTGGGGTTATCATACTGATCGCACGTAAAGCTAGTGCCCCTTTTAAATAGAACAACTACAAGTTATCCCCTGTATAACTTGTAGGTGTAACAAATGATGTTGTGTCAAAGGAACACATTTTGAAGGCTTTCGTATAAACTTATCTAGGCATGTCGGTACGAATACTTGATCATTAGTTAGTACATTAAAATAGCTAAGTATACAAGCGGTTCCAAAATGGGAATAGGTTAAAATGGGCAAATCAAATTATAAATAAATTGACTTTAGATAGATATGGCTATATATCCTGAAGCCAATTTATATTTTTTTCCTAAATGAGGACGCAGTTTTGAAGTTATTGGCTTCGTCACCAGTGGTTGTGGGTATCTATCCCACACGGGACTAATATTACTGTTATGGTTCTCCTTAATAAATAATGCTACAAACAAATAGATACTGTGTAGTACAAATAATTATATAATACTAACTTTGTAATGATAACTTTAAATACAAGTGCAAGAAAGTAAAATATAAAATGGTATAATAATATAAATAAATGAATAATTTGTGAGTATATAAAATAAGATATGTATATATAATATGAACAGGTGAGTCGCCACACTGTGACCCACAGACACATAACAAGTTATTATATAACCAAATTTTCACATATCCTTAATTATTGGATCAACTATTTTATAAAGAAATGTGAGAATAATACATACATATACGCGAGAATACACATTATTGAATGAAAATATTGTTAAAAAGCATATTTTTATGACACAGTTTATACTAGTATAGCTGCCGACGTTAATTTTTCAATGTAATTGATGCTGCTTTTAAATAGTTATTTACTATGTAACATTAGTGAAATTAATAAACAATTAATAATAATAATATTATTTTCAAATTGATGACTCCGTGGCGCCGGCTAATGTATAAGCTTCAGGCGTCGGGGGTCGCGGGTTCGATCCCCACACGAGACAAATGTTTGTGTGACCCGCAAATAATTGTTTCCAAACTGTGTGTTTTCCCGCGTGTCATTTATGTATACAAAACGTCCTTACAACACACGATAGTGAGATGCTACAGTAAGGGAAATGTTTTTTAAAAAAAAATTAAAAGATAAAACACCGCAAAGATGGATTTGTGAAAGCTTTTTTTTAATAAATGCTACATTACAACCTTTCTAACAAATGTTTTGAATATGTAAATACTGTGATGCCAAATATTTTTGGTGACCTTGCCGAAAATTATCTGAAGGACTTTAAGACTCTGGCTAATTTTACGGCATGCAGTAAATTCATTTTATAGCAAAAACTTATGTATGCTGCTTTGTCCATGACACCAGGTTTTTTTAATGACTCATAAAACTTCTAAAAGTGACCATATCTCCAGGATGGATTCTGTTGGTGTATAATGAATCTAATATGACTTTTGCCCTCCAAAACCGAGAATGACAAACAAACATCATGTGAGTAGTCTGACAAGTGTTATCTATGGTGTATTAAAGATCTGATTTAATGTCGGGGAAGATGACTTTAAGGTTGTAGTCATCAAATGATTTTTACAAAATGGTTATTTCAAATTTTACCGGTGTCACATATCTATAAACAACGACTAATGGTATCCAGAAATAAGTGCCTTTTCTTTAACGACATTTTTATATATATAACATTATACTACAAATCTCCAAGAAAATAGCCTTTACGTAAAAAATCTTGTTTACTAAATTACCAAGCTTTGGATATCGTATGAAGTAATAGAGCTTCTAAAAATTTAAATTATGTATAGAACTTTTACTAGCTTCTTTCCTCTTTTATGTGAATGAACTTTACGTTGAATTATCATTAGGCGTCTTGGTCGGACATCGGCTCATTTTTGTAAAAAAACAATGATTCAGCTAACGGCCGGTTTTCAATATTCTATCTATCTGTAGATTTGGTCACTGAAGATAGAATTTTGACGTAAGTTTTATGGAGCTAATGTTAAATACCCATCACTAGTAACAAATCTATGTGTAGATAGAATATAGAAACGGGCCGCAAGTCACTACTTTCGTAACGAGGTCCGGAAAAGCCGTAGCCTTGCCCGAGGAACGGCGGATTGTGCTGTGGAAAGGTAAAGTTGGCGCCTTTCCAAAGGTCGATCGTATTCGCCACACTCCAAATAACATTTTCGGTAGAGCGAAATATAACGATTTTAATACGTTAACATATTTCGCGGTTAAAAGCTTTGTCTGTTATTAGATATTGCTCATTTAAGCCTGTTCAGTGGATGGGTATTTTGAGAGAGTAAAAATGCAAGGCAGTCTTCAGGGACCGCCGATAGAAGTGAAAACCAAGTAAATTAACAATAATTAACATATTTATTTATAAATAAAGTAATTATTATGTTTAAATAATTGTTAATACTTATATTTAAGTTAAAAATAATGACATAATCAATATATAATAACTATTATTAAAATAAATAAAAATCGTTCGCTGATGTTGACGCGAGTTCCAAGACCTTTGTTCACCCTAAAGTGCTTAATACGCCTAAAGAAGTTTTCACTTCAAAATCACTTAACCCTAAACCTGAGTGCAAATTTTACATCCTCTTCCTAGCTGACACTGCAAGAGTGGTGTGTAAATGATTTATTTTTTATTAAAAAAAACTTTGTTGCTGCAATTTTGGCTGGGAATTGAAGCTTAAATAAGCAGGTTATGCGAGTCATCATAGTGGCAATTGTTGTTGCTGTTTTAAAGTGTTTATTGATATAAGGTGCTGTGGTAGGAATTGCTTCTGCTGTTGCAAGAATGGGCAGGCTCCGTGGGAAGAATTACGGCCACACAGAGTACCTGCGTGACAAATGTCATGTTCATGATGTTTCAATGTGACATTCAAAGTTAGGTTATTTAAACCAGTCTGTTTTTTCTTCGTAATTTTGTTTTTCTTTATCAATGGCTGCATTCCAACTTCTATTTGGGGAGATCTGAAAGATTTTAGTAGATTAATATCTAAATTAAACCTAAAGATTAAATAAGATTTTATTTCAAAGGGGTGGCAAGTGGTTCATCTGATAATATATGCAAATGCAAAGTCTTAACTATGTAAAATAATATCTGCTATATGTTGCATACGTGTTATCAACTACTGAGAGCCTGAAAACTACGTGCATCTAACGGCCGGTTTCAAACTAAAGATAGATATATTTGGTTACTAGCGATAATATGTAGTTTCACTTTCGTTAAAATTCGATCTCCACTAACCAAATATACCTGTAGATTGAATATTGAAACCGGTGGTAAGTTACCGTTATTAATATAGTACTTACAGTAAGTCCCGCTTTGTACGATGTCTTTGATTTTTCCGGCGGTGTAGTACGTTAGGTACGATGCCGCACCAACAGAGCATATGGCGCCGATAGCAATCCATGCGTTGGTCATTGATGAATTAGTTTTAGTTATCTTCCCCGTAATCGTCGTGGAGTTCATCCCACACACTGTGACGACGTCTTCACATACAAGCTGCAAGAAATGTTCTTCGGGAGCACCACCAAAGGGGCAGCTGGGATTGTCAGTGAAAATGTGTTGCATGCTGCTGGAATTGAATTTTTTGCAATGAAATTTTAGTCGAAATAAATTTACATGGATCAAATACTAATAACTTGAAAATTGTACATTAACTTAACTGTTTTATATCCTTACTCAATAGCACATAAACATAATTCCGTCTGGTAAGTTCTAACAGTACAAAATAGACTACATACAATAACTTAGAAAAGTTCGACTATTTCTCAGTCCTTTTTTTACACTTTTTCACTCAACTTTCACTGAGCACTTTTATGTTAGGGCCAAGCAACAGGTTCTATTATTGCTCAAATGGCTCGGCCGATGAAGTAGACTTCTTAGAAGATCTGCTTGAAGAGGAAGTTATCCGTTTGCGTTTCATCTGTTGTGTCAGTAATGGGGGCCCCTTCTTTTAAGCGGGTCCAGTGTTTTGATATACGTGGGTTAAGCATTTAAAAAAGAACCGAATGGCTTTCTTGCTTGATAAACACCATAGAATAATTAATTATAGAGTATTCTACAGTAGTGAAGTACGATAAAGAATTATTTAATATATTTGTTACTTACGAATCTTCTACGCTTGTAGCTGGTTTGACTACTGTCGAGTTTGTGGTATCACATGAAATTACTTCGAAGTATGTTGCAAAATGTCTGCATTCTAGTGGACTGTCTGTAGTTGTTTCTAATGTCTGAAAGGATATAAAATTTTTCGTACTTTATCATTGTAATTTTGTTATAAGCAAGATAATTTCAGGCATGTAAATAAATTTATAGCTGTGGTTTGTAGACATTACAACAATTTAAGAATAATCGTTGCCGTAATAGCTCAACATACGATAACACCGAGCATTGCTAAAATGGAATAAAAACAGAGTTGTTGTTGCAAACTGTTGATAGGGCCACGCAACAGTTTCCGCTGTTGCGCGAACGGAAGGGCCGTCCGGGGAAGTAACACGACCCCACAGAAGATCGGCGTGAAGTAGAAGTATACTTCTGCGTTTCATCTGTTGAGTGAGGTAACCGAAGTCAGGTCGCCCTACCGGATGCAAATGTTCATCGGCAAGCGGTTATCACTTAGCTTCAGGTGAACCATTAACGCGCTTGTCATTGTATCACATAAAAAAGTGGATAAAACGTCAAACTTTAATGCGATGGTGACAGCCTAGTAATCCGAAAGGTACTGGTTCGAGTCTTGCGTTTGCGACAGTTTTAACTACACATTTTTAAATTGTCACTAATCAAACCTCTAATTCCGTTGTAGGCTCTATTGAAGTGGTTTCCGTAGTTTTCGCCGATTCTGTGGTTTCGATGGTTTCCGTATTTTCCGTAGTTTTTACGGTACTGGCATCATAAACAGGTTCATGGCAGACTGTTTCTACATAGTCACATTTCAATTCGAGAAAACAATCTTCAGATGGATACAAATACGAATCTCTGCTGTTGTGAAGTACATTGTACTTTGAAATATTCCATGTGGTTGGATTTCTAAAACAATTTCCAAGGAATTGGGTGCATTGCATTTATAATGATTATGAAATAGCGTTTCCAATGATTTTAACATTGTAATTAATTTTCAAATTTGGTTCCTCAAGTTTTGTCCTATTGTTATAACTTATACACTTTTTACGCGAATATTATACATATTAAAATGAAACTAGTTTACGGAATTACAAAATCAAAATAAAAAAGCAAAAAAAAAAACCGTAAACTAGTTTCATTTAATCTATATATACATACGTATACATACAGATAAATAAAATTGGAGTGTCTGTTTGTAATATTCAAATAACCGCTTTTTACTAAATGCATATGGATGTATAGACGCCACATATATGTATTATAATTCCACGCGTACGAAGTCGCGGGAACAGCTAGTATGTTATTAACTTGCCAATTGCTTATGTGACAATTACGGCCGGTTTCAATATTTGATCTACAGATACGTTTGGTTACTGGAGATAGAAATTTGACGTTAGCTTTATGGAGCTGATGTCAAATACCTATCACTAGTAACAAAATCTCTTTGTTCATAGAATATAGAAACCGGCCAATAAAAAGTACATGGTTGTTTGAATCGAAAGTTTTCTGGCGAAAATAAGATGCGTTTTCATTCAATTTTATAGTTCTTTTATAAATTGTGTCTGATCAATGAGTGGATGTACTTCTTGCCAATGATTGTCATATTTGTGAACCATCTCGCAACACGAATTGCTATCTAGTGAATAAAACCACCAGGCTAAAATGTTAAATACGAATGCTTATAGTAATAACATATGGACTTACATGATGGCCGGTTTTATCTCTGTTGTGTTCGCTGAACCGCAAGATCTCTCTTCGAGCAGTGTGAAAAACTCTGTGCATTCTGTTGAGTCACCCAAGGAAAGTCTACTTATCTGAAATTAAAAACTGATGCTTAACATTGATCTTTTTAATAAATGTGTACGTGAGAAGGTGGCGAGCGAGCTGGCGGTTAACCCGATGTTAAGTGATTACCGCCGCCCACGGACATTTGCAACAGCCGTTTAATAAAATGGACCCCGGCCATCTTACTCACCAGACGACACCGAGAAGTATAACACTTCCACTTCACGCTTGTCAAAATCAAAATCAAAATCAAAAATATATTTATTCACATAGACGCTTGCGCGTTCTTATGAATTGTCAAAAATTTTACATAGAAATTAATACGTTCGTAAGTTCGGAAAGCAGTTTCTGTTGAGAAGAAACCTGCAAGAAACTCAACAGTTGGTCTCTTTTAAAACGATTAGTTTACAATAGAACAAGTCTGTCATTTTAGCCTACGTGTCTTCTGTGAGGTCGTGGTACTTACCCGGCCGGACCTGCCCAATCGTGCAACAACCGAGTACTATGCTTGGCCCTACCACTAATATATAGTAATAGTGGGTAAATGTCTAGATTCAACATCAGACATATGTCTAAATGATTAACGCCCGATTTCACTCCAGTGTTCATTCTTATAATTAAGAAGATCGTTCTGATCAATTCAGACAGTTTAAAAAACCTTTTGGCAACTCAAATGACATTTGAAAATCCATTTGACAGCTGAATAGCTGACTTCTACGATGAACAGTGTTTGAGAAACGGGGCGTCAGTATTTGGTACTTATATTAAAAACTGGTGGTAATGATACAGTTTCATTACTGTGACTTGATAGAAGTATAACACCTTGCACTTTTACTGCGGGGGATCAATAACAGCTCCTGCTGAGCGAATGGGTCATCCCAATCTGAGAAGTAACACGGCCATAGTACAATTGCAAGAATTAAAAGCATTCATACAATTGATTATCATTCGGTGAATGAAATAGAGGGTCATACTCTGCGACATCTCTGGTGTTTTAAGTGTCCATAGGCGGCACTTATCATTTACTAGCGACCAGCCCCGGCTTCACACGGGTGCAATGTTTTATACATATAAACCTTCCTCTTGAATCACTCTATCTAGTAAAAAAAACAGCATCAAGATCCGTTGCGTAGTTTTAAAGATCTAAAAATACATAGGGATAGACAGACAGCGGGACGACTTTGTTTTATACTATGTAGTGACTATCAAGTGAATTGAGCATTATTTTTATCTTGGATAGAAGAAAGTGTTCCAAATAATGTTACTGCAGAAACAAACTTTCTTGCGAATTCTGGCTCACAACTGATTTAGTACAAAACTAAGGGTTTCAAATCAGAGTAGTATTTATCAAAGAAACGGTTAATTTAAATCATTAAAGGTTAGTTCATCTTTTTCCTGTTCAATAAAAGTTTTGAAATAAATGTAATTTTTTTACTTTTAATTCACATATATAGAAGGATCTCTGTAAATAGGAAATCTGTAAATAGTTATTACTTAATGTTAAAGTACTCATTTGCTACAAAGAATCGCTTTAAAAAGCAACGATTTTAGCCCGCAGCGTTCTTTTGTTTTGTAGCATAGTTACAAAACCATTGCTTGTATACTCAAAACACCAACAACTGTCAAAGTTGTTGAACAAATGATCAAACAATCGTAAATACCGTCAGGGCCACAATGTAGAGTGTAAAAACTGAACGGAACACCATCTTGTTGAAACGAAACTGCCGTTTCTCTTTTCCTTTTACAAATACACTTGAATTTTCTGCAGAATAGGAGAAATAGAAAACACTATTTGTTTTTGAACGGATACACAATAATTTGTAAATATTTCTACGTTGTTCGATTTAACACTAGATATCCGTACACGAATAATCTATAAACGTTGGACGTGGCATACTGCTATTAATACCGATGAGTTTTTCCTCCTTTGTGGGTATATATGTGTGCAGTGACAAATATTGCATTGGGTAAATATTCTCGTTAAGCGTAGACATGGAAACTCGGTATGGTTATTTTAAATTTCTACAAACGAGTACTTATCACAATTTACAAATTAATTTTTAACCGATATCATTAAAGAAACTGTACAATATTTATGTACATATTTTAACAGCGGTAGAGCCACGCAACACGTCTGCACGTCTGCCCATTCTTGCAACGTCTTCGCCGTTGCAAGAATGGGCAGGTCCGTTCGGGTAAGTACCACGATAATGGAAATAAAATATTTACACAATATGATTAGAGTATATATGCGTATGCATGAAAATCGGTCAGAATCTGAATTGAATGCTTACTTTTATTGAGCCAAATATAGAATTTACGTACGCTACGTAAGGCTGGGCTAGCTTTTATGACCAAAGGCAGTTGAATATGAAAGTTCTTTTGGGCAAGATTGGTCTGTTCTCCAAGCCATGTGTGCAAGTATTTGGAAAGATCTACTTCCTACTATGTACTCAGTTCCTTCTGCCTATTCTTAAATTAAGACTGATGAAAAACTGATATGGCGTTATTTATTGTAAAAAGTGGTAAAGTAAAGTAACAGTGGTGGTAGTGCCACGCAGTATCCTCGGCTGTAGCACGATTGGCCAGGCTCGTCCGGGTAAGTACCACGACCTCACAAAAGACCGGCGTAAAGTGGAAGTATAATATTTTCGCGTTTCGTCTGGTGAGTTAGGTGGCCGGAGCCCAATTTCCAAAAAGATTGTCAACGCATCTGCAAACCCTTGGGTGTAGCAGATGTCCATGGGCGGCGGTATTCACTTAACATCAGGTGAACCGTCTGCTCGTTTGGCAACTTTTCGCATAAAAAAAAAAAAAAAAAGTCAATTATAAAATGAATATAAAGTGAGATATTTGAAGTCTGTTTTGTTTTTCGTTAGTAAAAACATTTATCGTAAAGAACATTCGCACGTAGTGTTTGTAGTCGATTCGTTCCACATATCATAGCCTCATTACAACCATTTTTTAAAATTTACTATAAATTTTCTCGAAATCAAGCAAATATCCCTACGTACGACCGGTATTGGTAAGAGAAAGAAATATACTGGCCATTATTACACTTTTCTTTCAATCGTTAACTTTCTCGTAGAAATGAAAAAAAACCTAATTGACACCATATACATGATTATTATTTTACGATATTTATCACGGTATTTATTGCATAGAGTATTGTTTTTGTGTTTATGTTCTATTTTATTATTTGTTAATTTAAGTTTCATATAGAAATGTCGAGCATACTTTAAAGGTTAAATAGTAATAATAGAGTATAATTCTGTTGGTAACTGTAAATGTTTTTTTAATAATTTTCTGTATGTGTTAAGTTGGTAAGCTTAAATAAGTAAATAAAAAAGAATATTGCGTGTCTAATCCGTAAACATGAATATTTTACAAGCTGTTTTTAGATCTATGCAATATCGTGACTCTAAATATATAATGAATGTATCAGAAATAAAAAAAATATTCCGAGAAATTAAAACTCGGCTACCGTACTATCGTTAACGGAAGCGATCCGAAATTTGTCGCCGGTTGGCGTTTCCGCAAGCGATTGTGAGCTCTGTGCGGCAGCAGTTAGTGCTGTTATTCATGTGGCAATATATAAAACGGCGTAGCAACACATGCCGCCTGTTGTACTGCATCCGCAACATTTCATGCGCGATGTGCGTCGTCCATTCACAATCGGGTTCATGCTTTCTGTGAACATTGAATCGTCGTCCGTCTGGATGTTTATGGTGTTAATGTTGATTGCTCGGTATTTTTTACGGTCCCAACAGATGTGGGATGCGTACTAATATCGTCTCGGTCCGATATCTTGGTATCGAAATATCAAAATCTGAAGACGGTCATATCTAAATGCTTCCAAACTGCCTCTCACCTTTGTCCGCTTGATTCTTTTTAAATGCAAACAAGCCGAATTAGAATTAGGTTCATAATTATGACTGCCGGGTAGAAAGAATTCTTACGATTATACCGATGACTTAAAACGATTTCATTTCGTTTTGGCTGTTTTAAAATTTGGGCAAATATTTTGCCAGTCATTCGGTTAATGTGAACTTATATATGTTATGGAACCCATGATAAAACTAAACGAAATTGATAACCTGATGGCCGATTTAAAAGATTTTTATGCAATTATGGCTAAGATACTCCATTTTGCATAAGACTTTACATTCTTTTATTTTTCTGCTTTTTTGTGTGAAACGTTGCCAAGCGGGCAGGCGGTACACCTGATGTTAAGTGAATGCCGCCGCCCACGGACACCTGCTACACCCGAGGGTTTATAAATGCGTCGACGACCTTGTAAAAAGTGGGCCCCGGCTACCTCACTCACCAGACGAAACGCGAAAGTATTATACTTCCACTTCACGCCGGTCTTCTGAGAGGTCGTGGTACTTCTCCGAACGGACCTGCCCATTTGTGCAACAGTGAACCCTGTTGCGTGGCCCCACCACAGTTAGTTACTGCTCTCGAAACAACTTTGCTTCTTTGTTTTATGTCACCCCTACATACTATTGCATACTGCGATATCGTTGGACTCGCTCCTTCCTCAATATTTTTTAATTGCTTAGACAATATTTTTAAAGTTGTTTTTTTATGTGTGCGAACGATATCATCGGTAAAATTTTCAGTGTGACAGAGTGACAATATTGTCTCCGGTTCTACCAACTTTTGTTACTCGATAGGTGGGCGTGCAGTTTGTTTACTTTTTGTTGGTCATGTGCAAAAACACATATTATAAAATACTTTAAAGGCTTACATTTCACTTGTAACGGCTTTTTTCCTACGGCCTTACCAACAACCTAGGAAGCTCCAAAGTAAAGAGAAATTGCAAGCTCCCAGAGTGCTTAGACTATTCCTTAAAAGTTTTTAAACACACCCTGTCATAGGTTAAGTCATAAAAGTTGCATGTCGAGCGCACTTCACTCAAACATGATCCTCATTAGCATGACAATAAAGTTTACAATTGCAAATCGATCGCATAATGAGCGGGGCATGTTTATGCTCTGGGCATTTACAAGTACTTTGGGTGATAGCCCATCACATTGTCTCTGCGTTTGTAGCAAACGGCTGCGTTTAAATAGTTCGCTATTCCCTTTGTCCAGAACCGTAACTTACAGGAAATTTGAAATGTGGGCTATCAAGCTTGTGAACGTGATAGTGATGCTATGTTGTTTGGAATTGTTCGGTGCCGCAGACGCCCTGAAGCCGGGTGGCCAAGGAGTGTGCCAAGTTAAGACCAGGTCAATTTTGATTTAAGTTATTGCGAATGCGAATCCAATATACGTATTTAATGTATTAAAGGTTCAATGAACATATTTTGTGTAGAATTACTTTTGAAACGGGACATTTATTAAATTTAAAATTTGTGACAATTAAAGTTTGTAACTTAACGTGAATAAATATCGATTAAATTATGGCGAAAATAGTAATATTAGTTTCTTCAAAGCAATCCCAAAAACATGTTCAAAAATTCTGAGGCATTCCTTCAATTTATGATTTATATAAATTAAATCCAAAGTGATGAAAGTACGTAAATCATATATCACGAAATTTCACAGTCGTTAAGATTTTTTGCATTTTAATTTTAACCCTTTCTTGACGAGGGAACGGGGTGAACTTACAATGGCGAAAATAATATTCTTACATACTACAATGTCATAATAATAAACCTATATTCCAGCACAGGAAAGTAGCGTCTCCACGTGCAATATAACATGAACACTTTATATAGTCTCTGTATTGAAAACGTTACTTCCATTAAAAATATCTGTAAGTCTAGGTTAGAACAGCTAAGCGGGGTCGACGGTTCGATACCCATACCCGAGTTTTACTGAATATTCTTATAGACATAAAAAAAACTATCTGTAATACTCTGCGAAAGTCATCACGATGTAAAAAAGATGATAGAAAATCGTAATTATTTTGATTTTCTATTTTATACACAATCATATAAGAGTAACATAATGAAATAGTATGTAAGAGACTAGGTATAATTTATTATATTTCAATTGATATTAAATAATCAAAGTACTTTTAAATATAAATAATTAGAAAAATTAAACGCTCGCTTTGCAGCTGCAAGATAAGGCTCTATGATAACTATGAATTTATTTTAGTGTTTAGTTTAAGACATTTTAAAAGTTGAAAAATATGCATCATTTATTACTATAAGTTTATTAATTTGATTCATCTCTCTTACAAAAACTCAATTTTTGGGACTGCATGAATTTATTTCTTCTTAATATTGTGAAAAATTTGTAGTTTAAGTGTGAAAGTTTTATGCGAAAATTTCTCAAAAGATCAGACGGATCACCTGATGTTAAGTGAATATCGCCGCCCATGGACATCTGCCACACCCGAGGGTTACAGATGCGTCGACAACCTTTGAAAATTGGGCTCCGGCTACCTCACTCACCAGACGAAACGCGAAAGTATTTGTCATACTTCCACTTTACGCTGGTCTTTTGTGAGGTCGTGGTACTTACCCGGACGGGCCTGCCAGTTCGTGCAACAGCCGAGGCTGCTGCGTGGCCCTACCACCGTAAATTGTAGTATATTTTTTATTTAAAAATTATTTTAAAGTAATTACAAAGTACCTAAACCTTGGGATTAAAGCTTGAAAAGTTTTTTTTAATGTAGAGTGTTCGCGTTACACGCCTGAAATTGTTATAATTTTTGAATTTTTGTAATTATTTAAATCATACTAATATACACAATGTAAGTTTTGTTGCCTCTATAAACTAAGAATTTCTCTAGTGCGGATTAGTACCTACAGCAGTCTTCCATGCAGGTCTTCAAACGTTGCGTTCTTAATACGCCAAGTCGACAATTTTTGTTGCATAGTTATCGTCATAATCGTGAAACTTTAATCCTCATTAATTATGGACAACTCAAAAAAAAGCCTACACAAAATTAAACGACTTATAAAATATAGGTTACTAGCTGCTGCCCGCGACTACGTCTGCGTAGAATAAGCTGAAAGCGTAACATTCAGACAGAAAGACAGATGTACATAAAATATGTCTTATTCTAATGTATAAGCTATATTATTGTAAAGTTTCATTAGAATCCATTCAGTAGTATTTGCGTGAAAGAGTAACAAACATCCATCCACACATATAAACTTTCGCCTTTATAATGTTAGTAAGGATTTCGTATATTATGATCTCATAATCCGTCGATTGTGGCGCCATCTGGATCAAGCTTCAACAGACAAAGGCAACTCTGCAAAGTAACTTGTAATAGCGGAGGTCTCTCCGCTATTAGAAGTTACTAGAGTTGCAAGACTTGTATATAAGACCGCAGTACAGCTTAATAACGGCAAAATCAATCCCAAATGATAGCCAAGACTGTTTTGACAGACATTGAAATTGTTGGGCTTAACATAAAAAGTAGTTTCGCCTGACATTGTACTTAATTCACTGTTTATGGTTTCTATTTTTCAGTTTCCAAAAAACGCGATGGAAGTCGTATTACGCGCAGACGAAGAAAATGTGCGGCAGAAAGAAGTGCGTCGTCAAGAAATCCAAAAAGGAGGTGTGTATACGTCAATTTTATCATAAATCTCAAATCTCTAGTTGGTGAACGTAGATAAAAAAAAAGTGAGATTACTTTTCATTTTGCTCGAATCTTTCTTGTTTTGTTAATCTTTCTTGCGTCTCTTTTAATAGACGCTTTGTATTTAATAAACGTATACTAATGGTGATAGTATTTATTTTTAAATTTACTAGAAAATGACTCTTACCTTTTACCTTCTACATGTTTCGCTCATAAATCTTTCTCGTCCTTTATTATTCGGCGACGATGCCCCACGTTGCGGCAATTCTACGATAGATGTCGCTAACCGCATGTAAACTCGATCGCAAATTTATCAAGAAGAGAACGACAACTGGTGATTTATTAAAGCTCCTTTGCGGGGAACAAGGATGCCGGGGGAAGGATCGAAGATGCTCGCTGCATCGAGTACGTGCTTAGAAAATAAACTGAACGGCAGACAGAGCTTTATAAAGTCATAACCGGAACCGCTTGCGCGAAATGAATTCAAATTGCCCGATTGAGATTCGAGGCGGTGGCGGTTTTCGAAACTTTACGGCATAAACTTAATGGTGTATGTAGAGATTGGGATAGGTTAGTTTACCTTATAATTGAATAGATATTGGAATGTAATAAATGATAAGGTAACAGCCAGTAGCCCGGGTCAACTGTGGCATGTAAAACAACTCAGTGTGTGACCATGAACACTGTAAACTGATCGAAACGTCGATATTTTAAAACCAAAATAGATCGCGATAAAATTAGTGATATACTATTATTTAATGATATGTAATATTCGAGTAAATACAAGATGATGGTGATAATTCACTTGTATTTCAAGGGCAGGTATTATCTACAACCTAGATCGATTCCACATACATCGATACGATATATTTACGTGACTACTTTCCATTATATATTGACTAAAACCTTTACTATTAATAATTTGATAGTCCATTTATTCACTTACAATCCAACCTCTATCGTCACGATCATTGTCGACAATTATGTGCATCGTTAAATCAATTTATCACTTCACCAATTTTCAGGCGTTCACCGCCACGAGGAACCAGACGGTCTGCTGCAACGGCTGGCAGTATACAGCTGAAGACGACAGCTGCGCCCCGTTGTGCAGCACCGGATGCAGTGGGGGACGCTGCATCCTGCCCGACGTGTGCCACTGTGATCCCCCAGCCACCCTCGACGAGGAGCACAAGAACGCCTGTATCTCACCCACGTGCGACCCACCTTGTGTCAACAGCGCGTGCGTCGCCAACGACACCTGCGAGTGCTTTGCCGGCTTCAAAGAGCACAACTCCACTCACTGTTACCACTGCGACCCCGGATACGTCATCGACGGGGACTTCAGCTGCGTCCCCGTGTGCGAAACGCCGTGCTCCAATGGAAACTGCATCGGCCCGAACGCCTGCGGGTGCACCGCCGGCTTCAGGCTCAAGGACGCGTTCACCTGCGAGCCGGTCTGTGAGAGGCCCTGCGTCAATTCAGTGTGCACCGCTCCTAACGTCTGCTCGTGTCTGGACGGCTATATAGAGGCGAATGAGACATGCGTTCCGGCGTGCAATTCGTGCACCAACGGGCGGTGTGTCGCTCCGAACGTTTGTGATTGTGACGACGGTTATACAGGAGTCAACGGTAGTTGCGTGCCGGCCTGCGAGAGAGCCTGCGTGAACGGCTTCTGCTCGGCACCCAACGTGTGCACTTGCAACGATGGCTATTCAATGGGCGACGGCGGTTTCAAGTGTTACAAACCTTGCGACGCACAGTGTCCAGACGCATGTGACGAGCACGGAAAATGTATCGATTGCAGCGTCCCTCTAAGGTATGTATCTTAAAAGATTTAAAAGCTCAATTATTGTGGTGGAGCCACGTGGTGGCTCCTTTTTTATGTGAAAAGGTGGCAAACGAGCTGGCCGTTCACCTGATGTTATTGTACCTGCCTGAAGATCTCACCACACCATAGGTGGATTGGCAGAGAATGCCTAAAGGCTTAATGCCTTCCGTCCGCCTATTGTATTCCGTATTAAAGGAAATGCAATAAAAACTAAATAAATAAATAAATAACCGCCGTCCATGGACATTTGCAACACCCCTAACATTGCAGATGCGTTGCCACCATCAATAAAGTGGGCACCGGCTACCTCACTCACCAGACAAACGCAGAAGTGTAACACTTTTAATTTACGCCGGTCTTTTGTGAAATCGTGGTACTAACCTGGACGGACCTGCCCATTCGTGCTACAGCCGAAGCTGTTGCTTCTGCTGGTATATGCATGTTTCATCGAGGAAATATCTCGGCTTCAGAGAAGAACCTTGCGTAGTAGAAGAATTAACACAGCACCGTTTCAGTACAGCACCGATAAATCGTTATTTTGAATGTTATTTGAGATATTTATGTACGAATGTTGTACAAAAATACAAAACTATGAACGCTTTCGCACCGTGTAGAATTTCTCACGTTTTTAGCAAAGATCGCGTAGGGTTTTCATCGAGATTTCACATTTCACGGAAATCAAAAATTATCTCTAATGTCAGAAGATATCATACAGGATCGCATAGTACTCGATTGTGTTGTTATTAATTGAAAAGGGCAAAGGCCACTCTTATCCGGATGGCATGAAAATCACAAATGGTTAGACTTGTAAATATCTTTCCTTCTCGCTCTTATTATTAATTTTACACTATATTTTGTGATGCGTAAAAGCTTTTCACATGTTGCTTTTTTGTTTGCGCAATTGGCGCGACAAAGTTGGCACGTGAATTGGCAGTGTTACGCGCTCGCATCATAAGCGTTTCTCCCCTGGCATGTATGAATGAACCATAAGCAGAGATAACATGATGTATACGTGTCTTAAAGGTCGGGTTTAGCAACTTTAACAAAAAAACGCTTACTTCCGCAGTAGCAAAACATCTACGTCACGGGAGGTTTCGAATATCCAGAACTGGAACAACAATTAATAGCGTCAACAAATTTTTGGCCCGTGTGGGCAATGAACTATATTTTTTTTTGCAATTATAATGCAATAGCAAAGTAAAGTGGCTTCGCCACGGCTTCATCCGTGCAGATCAACTTAAACGAATTTATACAAAAAATATAAATCCTTTTGATTAACTTTTTATTCCAAAAAGTCCTTAACAAGGTGCCATATGATCCTAGATGCATTAAGTAGATATTTATTATGGTAATGATAATTAATTAAGATTTTATCCAATTTGAAGACACTGAATTATTTTTCCAAGAACGAGTTAGTTATTAAAAGTTTATCATATTTGCATGTTTGACTTTTTCAAGGCACGAAATATCTTACAGAAATTCATAAAACAGGCAATTGTCTAAACCCCGCACCAAATATATTTTGTTTATATCAATGTAACGAGTGGAATATTACTATAATTATATAAGCATTCCAATGTTTGCTGACTCCGACTAGTGTACTAAACTTGTACGATGTTTAAAAAATAGTGAAATTTACATAAAAACCTTTGCGACATGTCGGATGAAATGAGCAGTGTTTTAAAGCGAAAGTTTGAGGAGCGTGTCGTGTACGCACAGACATAAAATCCGTCATTGACATTGGGCAGTACACAATGCTGTGTGCATTGTGTACTCACACACATGCGTGCACAATGCATTTGCGTGGGCATCTATCGGAAGAGGCATTCATTGTGGATATCACCGACAGGACGTTGACTATAGCATACTAGTGTAGTGTGTGTTACGAGAGCGTCTGAACAAGTGTGAGTGTGTAAGCTTTATGTGGTACATGTTAATGGAATAATAATCCATCGGCGTCGTAGCCTTTGATCTCAGATTTTTTTTTTAAACATTGCCCTTACTGATAATATTATCCTGTGTTGTAAGGACGTTTTACGAACATAAGTTTCACACGGACAAACACCCAGATGCGAAACAACTATCTGTGGGTCATACAAATAAATAATATATAATTTTTCGAGAATATTAGTATTTAAAGTGGTTTCTCTACGCTTAAGGTTAATTTCACAAGGTGGATTTGGATCTTAAAATATTCAGGTCTAATAGGAATTTGGTAGCTTTTGAAGCTTTGATATTATGAGCAGCACTGCTAAATTTTAATGTGTACGCTTAAATAAATAATATCTCTAAATTTCATTATTTGTAATAATTAAGATAATCGTATAGTGATTATACGTAGATGTAGGATATTTATTATATGATTATTTGTCCATGTCAATCGTGCAATACAACATTACAGTCAACAACGTACGTCCCATAGACATATAAAACTACCGATGGCTTGCTGATTGATAGACAATCTTTAAAATAATATATGTAATATTATAATCATATTATAAATAAATCTTTATGTATAATAAATCTAAAGTATAAAGTAGCAGCCTATACATGTCCCACAGATGGGCAAAGGCCTCCTTTGTACAGAGGTTATCAGGGCATAATCCGCAACGCGGTCCCACTGCGGATTGGCCGACTTCACATATCTTCGAAATATTTTTTTTGTTATTATTTAAAAAATATGGAGGTTTCCTCGCGATGTTTTCCTTCACCGCAGTGCATGTGGTAATTCGGCACTCAAAATTAACAATTACATTGGCGCCGGCACCGGGGATCGAACTCAGGTTGCACGAGTAAATTGAATTAAAGGCGAGCGCCCGGACACTGAGCTATCACGGCGATTCTACTAACAAGTACATATTTATTTTCTTGCATTTCGATTTCTACAATATTTTTCAGTCTCTGCTTTTGGGGTAATGAAATTTTTCGGCATTGTTCACAACCCCGATGTCTTCTTCTTTATTCTTTATCGAGAAAAGCTAATTTAAATCTGCGTAGTACGGGAATCCAGAATTTCGCACACAAAGTGCTATCTCGCGCGTTTAACGAGAATATCAGCTGTTACCCAACCACGAGCCCTTATCGGTTATTAAAAATAACTTTGCATGATAACACAATGTGATTCGTGCAATGGACGTTACTTAATTACATTCAGCTTTCAAATTATCTTCCACAATGAATCATTCACGTGAACATTCATTGTTCTCTCCCAACTTAGTCCTTTTCATAATCATTTTACGATTTTATTATCTTTTCGACACGATTTCGATTCCGACTTTTTGTTCTGAACATAAAACTCTTAACTTAAACTTTTTATCACACATAGAAGAGACAAGATCGATGCAAGATCTTAGACTGTGGTAGGGTCACGCGCCAGTAGTTGCAAGTTTTTTTTTTTACGTGAATAGTTGCCAAGCGGAGCAGACGGTTCACCTGATGTTAAGTGAATACAGCCGCCCATGGACATCCGCTACACCCGAGGGTTGCAGATGCGTTGACAACCTTTTGAAAATTGGGCTCCGGCCACCTCACTCACCAGACGAAACGCGAAAGTATGATACTTCCACTTTACGCCGGTCTTTTGTGTAGTCGTGATACTTACCCGGACGAGCCTGCCCATTCGTGCAACAGCCGAGGCTGCTGCGTGGCCCTAGCACCGTTAAGTACTAGGGCCCCACAGAAACCAGTATAAAGTGAAAGTATTATACAACTATAAGCGTTTCGTCCGGTAAGTGTCGTAACCGGGACCCACTTGTCTAATGGTTGGCAATGCATTCGCAACCCAAGTGTTGTAGATGTCCACGGGTAACAGTAATCACTTAACATCAGGAGAAGCGCCTGCTCCTTTGACAACTTCTCAGTAACCAATTAATCGTATAAGAAAAGATTATATTATTAAGAACGTAAATGTATTTGCCATATGATCACTATGGCAAAATACATTTACGTTCCACCATTTAATTAAGCAGTAGTGTTTTTCAACTTCAAAAAAAGAAGAAGGTTATCGATTTGACTCTATTTTTTTATGTTTATTACCTCAGAGCTTTCGTTCGAGAGAACTATGATTTCGATGATTGTTTCTTTATTTGAAAGTTGGTACTTCCCATGTGGTCCCATATTAATTTCATTATATGGTAATGGATCTTGGGCTCCGGGGATACTTGGGGAACTCCCGAAAATCAATTATAAAATGAATACAGAGCGAGATAAGAAGTTGGTTTTGTTTCTCGTTAATAAAAAAATGGACTTGTTATTATGGACTTGTTGACAATTTGAATGACCTAAAATACAGCTTATTACTGTTGACTAGGATGATCCAACCAATTTAGACCCAAACGGAGGAAATCACAATTAAATGCTGGAAAAATTAGGTCAGCGCTGCCTTAGATGCAAAGTTTAATTAACTTTCTTCTAAATGTCCCATGAAATAGCAATTTATAACGTGACATTTAAAACGTGGTAACATTTTATAATTCAAATGGCTACGGACACCGCATTAGTTTTGCACAACGGGCTTTTTTAAATTGAATTGTCCGTGTACTGTGGTTATTTCCACTCGATTTACTATCCGCGTGTAATATACAAAACAAATAACACATATTACCTAGTATAGTAACACTTTAATTGCATAGAATTGCGTAATAACATTTATCTATGGGAAAAATTTGCTTCTACAACGTTCTACGGATGTCTAACGCTACGAAGTTGTTTACCTAGGTCGAGACTTACGCCTGGTTTCTGAAATAATGACCATCATCCGTGTCTGCAGATGACGCGTTAAATTCTTTCAGCCATTTAAAATTCGTGCGCAATATTTTGTTTTTCATTATATATTGCTCATTAACATGCTATCAAACGGATGCAAATAGCATTAAGTACGTCATTTATAACGCATTCCTTGCCCCTGTTATCCGTGAATGCCGCCATTGCAATCCCAGCCTATTTGTAGATGGATGCTTCGTATGAAATAGAAATATTAAAGTAAAGTA